TGTATGTCGATTAACTGCACAGCTCTAGTTGGTAGGTTAATGCAATACACAAATGAACTTTGTTTGGTCACATCGTTATGAGCACCAGTGATGGGTGACCTAGTAAACAGCACAAATCTCAACTCAAATCTGTTTTCTCAATGTAATTTACCTATTCGCATCTATGCATCAATGAGCTCTGGAAAGGCACTATATTAATTACATGTATTATAAGCACTAATAACAGACGTAACAGAGCCTTTATCCCCAGGAACAGCAAGTGAAGGAAAGAGGCAGCTCACTCATCTGATTCAGAATTAAACACGCGTGTGATTGGCTCAGGATGCTGACAGCTGTGTGCTGCAGGGGTCAAAGGTCACGCTGAGCAGGAGTCTGTGTGATTGGCTCGCTGTAATGTGTGTGTTACGCTCACTGTACCATGATAAACACAGTCTCGGCCAAAGTACTAAGAAGTTAGCTTTACTACCATAATAAATTCACATGAATCATCTGAAGACGGTGAAAAAAGCATCAGAATCCTTTGATGTCTTTGTTGGTGATGATAGTGGCGCGTAACAGCAAGTTAACATGTTTTACTGATCATGGTACATTTTTAGAAATGATACAGTATTTACAATTAAATAAATGTAAGAAGATGCATTAATGACAGCCACAGACAGTATTTATGATGCTGTGAATTCAGAAATGCTGAACTCAACATCACTTTATCAGAGATTCTCAAACAAAGAGCAAATATTTATTGAGATTTTAAGTTAATATTTCAAGAATTTAACGACACATTCACATGTTCGCATTTTGCGGTCACATGACATGCAGCTAAACAATTAAAACATAAAAAAATTTTGTAAGCGTTTTATTTTTATTCGTTTTTATTTTTACATTATTTATTTTAAAAATACTTACATTTTTATGATTTAATTAAACTTAAGCAAGTGTTTTATTTCGATTGTTTTCATTTTAAATGATCTATTTTAATTTTACATTTTTATGATTTCATGATTTTTATGAAACCCTGACCTAACACAACATTACACAATGAAACCCACACAGAACTGCAATTAAAAATACAATATTTCATATTTTGTAGTTCTACCATGTTCAGTATCCTGATATATAAACATGCTAAACAAAGAGATTGTAGCAGAACACAACTGTAGTTGTGTGAATGACTTGGTCTGAGGATCTGGTTTAGATCTGGTCTGTGAGTCCTTGAGACGGTCTGCTCGGTGTCTTTGTCTCTCTGCAGAGGACACACCGACGGCTCTCAGCCAATCATCTGCTCCGAAACAGCTGTGTGACATGAAGAGCTTCCTGCACATCCGTACACAGCTGAGAGCGACGAGCAGCCGCTTACAATCACACATCAGCGTCACCTGAGCTCTCTTTCCTCTGATCTAGAACTCAACCAGCAGAACACAGGCGGAGCAATCAAACCCCCGCTGCATTATTCATGAGCCCAGCAGCCCCGCCCACAGCCGAACAAGCATTCATGAGCTGACAGGAAAAGACTCCATTTATTACCGTGTTCTAGGGCTGGGCGGTATATCGAGTTTGTACGATATATCGATATTTTCTTTATAAGCGATACGATATGAGGCAATACCGTTTATATGGATATACAGTAGTTTGATACGAGCGCATCTGGTACCGTGTTCTGATATTTAGTGTTGACAAATGTGTGAATGAAGCTCAAACCTGCCTGATATAAACAGACAGAAACACACGAAACCACTGAGACACGTCACTGATGCTCATAAATAACAATTACACCACACATTCTCTACAGATCTGTGTTTAAATAAGAAAAAACAAAGACAAAATAAATGTGTTTGGAGACAATCTTGTAACTCAAATCAAAACACAAGGATCTCACAAAACCAGTCAAACACAATATGAAATAAATTTAAATATTCCACCTTAATATTCAACAGAAAAATATCGTTTTTTCTTTGTCTCTTTATTTTTATGGCAGTTAAGCAAAACCAATACTCATTACTGTTATGCAAATAAATATTATTTACATTATTTATAAAGTTAAATATTTATACATTATAGCAGTATTTCTTGTATGGCTTTTAGACTTGTGCCGGTATTCGGTAATGCGATATATCACGGTAATCGCGGTAATACCGCATACCGTGATAAAAGCATTAGCAATTAATCGCAACATGAAAATTTGATACCGGCATATCCCTAATGGCTTTTAATTAATGCAAATGTGAAAAAATTTTATATTACAGAAATTAGAGCATAATATGTTTGGAAGCCCATTTCTGCCACGTAATAAAAAAATTAAATAAAAGGTTATTGTTACATTTTATCTCAAAATTCATTTTTTCCCCTGCCATTGAATAAAAAAAGAAAAAGGTAATTGCAACTAATTTGGACTTTTCTTCTGAGAATTGCAAGTTTATCTCGCAATCCTGAGTTTGCAAGGATAAAAGTCAGAAATGTGAGATAAAAAGTCAAAATTACCATTCTTATGTTTTATTCTGTGGTGGAAATGGGCTTCCATAATAATGTGAATGATCACTGAGAATAATGGCAATTATAATGTAAAGAAATAAAACGTCTAGATGCATTACAGTAACGAGAATGAGATTTTTTTCAGTCAAACTTATGTAATTGTAATGAAAATAATGCAAAGATATGAACAGGATTAAAATAGGATGAAAACAGGATTAATATTCCTTATGAAAAATGTAATTTCTTGTTTTTATTTTTATTTTGAGGTGAAATATGTGAGGTAATTCACCATAATATACCGTATAATGGCCTTTTGCTCCCACAGACGTTTCTCAACACAGAGCCTTTAGAAAGGAACAATAACAGAGCGATCAACCAGAACAAGAATAATCACATAATCTAGGCCGAGTTTCAATCCCTGAGCGAATTACAGTCAGAAATAGAAGCCGTTCTTCAGTCTGATCACACGAGATGCTGCTAAACGAAGGCCAGACAAACATTTCCACAGTGTCACTGCATGACTATGCTGATGAACGGACTTGAGCACATCAGCTTTAGCTTCAGCATCAGCATCAGATTCAGCATCAGCATCAGCATCAGATTCAGCATCAGATTCAGCTTCAGAATCAGCATCAACATAATCATCAGCTTCAGAATCAGCATCAGCATCAGATTGAGCATCAGCTTCAGCATCAGCATTAACATTAGCATTAGCATCAGCATCAGCATTACCATCAGCATTAGCATCAGTATCAGCTTCAGCATCAAAATAATCATCAGCTTCAGAATCAGCATCAGATTGAGCATCAGCTTCAGCATCAGCATTAGCATCAGCATTAGCATTACCATCAGCATCAGCATCAGCATCAGATTGAGCATCAGCTTCAGCATCAGAATCAGCATTAGCATTAGCATCAGCTTCAGCATTAGCATCAACATCAGCATCAGATTGAGCATCAGCTTCAGATTCAGCATCAGATTGAGCATCAACATCAGCATTAGCATTAGCTTCAGCTTCAGCATCAGCATCAGATTGAGCATCAGCATCAGATTCAGATTCAGCATCAGCATTAGCATTAGCGTCAGCTTCAGCATCAGGGAGTCGCAGTGAAGCTGCTGCTGCTGTCCATGGTGCTGCAGCACATCAAACACAAACACAGTCCCTCCTCACCGGACAAACCTCTGACTCTGCCATGAACACCTTTATGCTCCTGTTGTTTACGGAGAGGAGAACAGCTAAAGGTCAAGAGATTCATACAGTCACACTGCAGAACTGAATACTAATGTTGAATCACATGAACTTCATATCTGCAGCATCAGGAATCACGTCACACACGTGCTCATAAAGCTCCATAAGCAACATTTCTGCATATGTGAGATGTTCGTGAAGCATTTCTACACAATATCAGCTGAAAGCAGCCGTGCGGAGCCATCAGACGCACTGCCTCTGGTGCACAGTCAGTTTACACTCAGAAATGGCTAGCAGGATTCACAAATAATTACCAAGATTTGGTTAGTAAAAACACTAAACTAAACATAGAAAAACTGAAAAACTGGAGTGGCATTTTCTTGTAAAATGTACTGGAATAATCTTTGTTTTGCTGCTGTTAATGCATTGCTTTAATTCCATTATTTACACCCTGCATTTAAATAAATAATTCATGAACATTAAACATGAATATTAATCAGCAGTTCGGAACACAAGTGGAATTTCTATCATAAATAACTGTAATTCTCTTTTTTTTCAGAACTCCATTTGATCGTTTTCATTCTTAAAGGAATCTTAGTTTAGAATTATGATAGAATTCCGTCATGATTTCTGTGTATTCCCCTCATCGCGTCATCACGGCCGGTGACGGGTACCGCGTGTGACGTCACGTCGGCAGTCCGCGTGCACGCGCAGGCCACACCCACCGCATTGCAGAACCACAAAAACCGAAACCGGTACCGGTGAAGTTCATAAACTCGCATCACGTGACCGTAAACCCGCAGAAGCGCTGTGAATCACATTCAGCCACTTTAATAAGACATACAATCATAAAGACGCAGAGAATTTAATGCGAGCGATTTAATGACAGTCACGCGCATGTGTTTCTGCATCGCTGTGTGTGTGTGTGTGTGTGTGTGTGTGTGTGTCATGATGACAAGTCAATAAAATTACGAATACAACCCCATTTCTATGAATTCTGCTTCGATAGCGGCTGCTGCTGAAACACACACGCTGTTAATGTCGCTGCTGTAGTTCTCCTGTCATTTCACCCGAACACACACACACACACACACACACACAAGCACGAGACTGAAGCAGAATAACGGCTGTTTACCGGCTCTGATGCTGCTGCTGCTGCTGCTGCTGCTGCTTCCCGGTGCGCGCGGCGACAGACTGACTGCACACACACACACATACACATACACTCCTACTGCGCATCACACACACTCACACACCCCTTCACAAAGGCTCACACAAACATACACACACATATAGAGCCAGATGCACTAAAGCCCGAATGAGTGTGTGTGTGTGTGCAACTCACCGAGTGCTGCTGCTCCGGTCGGTGTGTGTCTGTCGGTGATCAGAGCAGTCCAGTACACACGGGGTTAAACCAACATGCTGACTCATCACTAATATCTATAGCTCACTGAATTTATCACACACACACACACTCTCTCTCTCTCACACACACACACTCACATACACACACTCTCTCTCACACACACACACACACAGCAGATGTGAGCAGCAGAGAGTCTGGATGGAGTCCATACATGAGGAAACATCAGCAGAAACTCCAGAACACGAGGCCAAATGAGACACAGCTGTCTGATTCATGAAGATAATCACAGATGAGGCCTGACAGAATCACTTCGCTATAAATATACCCATGGGAAAACTCACTAACTCACACACACACACTCTCTCTCACACACACTCTCTCTCACACACACACACGCACAGCAGATGTGAGCAGCAGAGAGTCTGGATGGAGTCCATACATGAGGAAACATCAGCAGAAACTCCAGAACACGAGGCCAAATGAGACACAGCTGTCTGATTCATGAAGATAATCACAGATGAGGCCTGACAGAATCACTTCGCTATAAATATACCCATGGGAAAACTCACTAAAAAAGCTTTTTAATATAATAAAATGTTCCTGTGGTATTATGTGATAACACAATTCACAGTTTATTTTTGACTGAAGAAATAAACACACGTCATCCTGACATGCTCTCTGCTCTTCGCCCTGCTGCTCTTGTAAACATCTTTCTCTTTCTCATCCAACACTGTCTGCTGTGCATGCAGATGAGTCCTGCCGTCTGCATTTCCCATCATGCATCTGCACACACACACACACACACACACACACACACTCTCCAAACAGCAGCATCAGTCAGAGTGTTAACGCTCTTGAGTTCAGGTCAGCTGTCAATCACACGTCAGACTGTCACTCTGATTGGCTCCTATTGTTCAGCGCTTCACGTTCAGCTTCATTAATGCATATTTATACACTAATTATCTTCTGAGAACCGGAGTGCGAGTGCGGTGTGTGAGCAAACTCATTTGCTGCTCGGCTGCTCTGAGGACGTCAGTCTGTAATCTGAAGCGTCTCAAACTCAAGCGCTTCTGAAACAGCTAAAAAACACAGACAGAAAGAAGCCAAAAGAACTGGCTGCGTTTAACTGATGTGTGTTGTGAAAATCAACATACAAAGTTTTGAAAGAGTCTCTTCTGCTCACCAAGGCTGCATTTATTTGATCAAAAATACAGTAAAATAGTTACTCCAGTCTTCAGTGTCACATGATCTTCAGAAATCATTCTAATATGCTGATTTGCTGCTCAAGAAACATTTCTGATTATTATCAATGTTGAAAACAGTTGTGCTGCCCAATATTTTTGTGGAAACTGTGATGCATTTTATTTTTCAGGATTCACAGATGAACAGAAAGTTCAAAAGAACAGCATTTATTTGAAATAGAAATCTACTGTAACATTATAAATGTCTTTCCTGGCACTTTTGAACAGTTTAATGCGTCCTTGATGAATAAAAGTATTCATTTCTTTCAAAAGAAATATCGCACCGACCCTTAGCTTTTGGATGTTAGTGTTGGCTGATATAACGAGCGGTAAGTGAGAGAGATCACAGCGTGCTGCTGAAGGTCCTGCTGTGAGATCAGGGTAGAAATGAGGAAATGGTTTGATGGAGGCTTTTATAGTCCAGCATCAGCCTGAAACACTGCTCCATTAGAACGGATGTGCTGACAGTGAGCGAGAGACATAGACAGACAGAGAGAGAGAGAGAGAGAGAGCGCTTAAGCTGATCTGACGGCTCATTCTTCAGCTGAGATCACAGGAGTTTGAGATACAAACACCAGTCAGTCATTATTATTACTGTCAATGTGTTTGATGATGATGATGACTGTGCAGAAATTACACACTTCACCATCAAACATCATGCAGTGCAGAACAGAAAACTAGAGCACTAGAATAATGTAGAGAAAACACATACCTGACACTCTAACAACCAGCTATAAACCACTAACAACACCCTAGCAACTACCCAGAACACCCTAGCAACCACCATTACCACTAACAACACCTTAGCCACTACCCAGAACACCCTAGCAACCTCATTGAACCACTAACAACACCCTAGCAACTACACAGAACACCCTAGCAACCTCCTTGAACCACTAACAACACCCTAGCAACTACCCAGAACACCCTAGCAACC